ATATATACTAAACAAAGAGTAATAAATCCATTGCAATGAATTCTGTTGTTGACTACTGCATAATACAAAATGTAAATAGAGTTAAATATTTTTACAAACTTGTGATATTAAGTAATTACATTGAAGACATACAATTATATTGAAAATAAAAATTTACATATGCAAAACGCATTAATAATATGGAAATGTATAAGAAATATGTATATAAATATAATAAGAAAAAGGAAGAAAGTTAGAGAACGAGAGAGGGGGAAGTAATATAAGAGTGGGAAGGAGGAGGGACTTTGGTAAGCGAGGCGCGAGAGAAGGCGGAGCTCGTTAAACTTGGGATGTTGAGAGGAGATGGAGAGATGCTTCGGCTTTCTCACTATCTTGTCCAGTCGCTTTCTCGTTTTCTTTCTTTCTCTTACTCACTCACCGCTTCTTTCGCTTTTCTTTCTTCGGATAAACTTAATTATTATTGAATTTTTAGGCTTTTCTACATGAAAGTATTTATTTTACGTTTTACATCAATTCTTTATATTTACAAAAAAATTATCTAGTATATTTTCACGTTTCTCAACCCTTTTAGTCGTATTTTTTAATATTATAAACAAGTTTCTACTTTCTCTTTTACTGTTTTAACCGTACATTGTTACTATTAAAAAATAGATGATAAGGGCACAAATACTGTACTATTTAAAATGATCTATCAGGTATTTTCGATCAAAGTAATTCTAAAACAAAATATATTAGTAAACAATATTTAAATAAAAAATTATTTTATTCTTCTATTCTTAAATAATAGTTGAAAGATAATAAGTTTTTTATTTTAAGTAAAAACGTGTAAGATATTACTCAAATGAACGTTAAAACGATATATTGTTTAAATACAAATATATAAATATTTAAAATAACTAAATTTTAGGTATTATTAAACGGATTTTTATAACATTTCTGCATTTAGTATAAAAGTATATATTAAAATAACTTGAAAATTTTTTTAAATTCTTCAATTGTAAATAGCAATTTTAAATAATAAAAATTTGCTTTATATTAAACAAAATTTAAATAAAACTATCATACCAAATGCTTATTTTAGTAAGTGAAGTAACTTTATATAAAATACTTTAATAAATGAACTATCAATTAATCAATGATAACAGAAGCTTCAAAAAGCGGTAAAAATAACAGTATACATACTAAAATATTTCCTTTAGATATTAATCTCTCTCTCTCCCCCCTTCCTTCTACCTGTCGATCTATCTTTCTGTTTCTGTCTGATTCTCTCTCGATATTAGTACTATAGTATATTATAGTACTATAGTATAAATAAATAAATATATATATATATATATATATATATATATATATATATATATATATATAGTGGTTTTGTATAAATATAAATAAACAAATAAATATATATATATATATATATATACAAACATATTTATCTATATATCTATCTATCTATCCGTATCTTTTTCACTCATTCGTCGCCTGTATTTCATTCATTTCGTTCACTCAGACCGCTGCTACTTTAATGTCAGTTGGAGGCCTATTTGTCATTCTTCTGCTCACTATCTTCATGCACTTTTTTCTTTTTTCTCTTTTTCAGTGGTTTTGTATTTCTTTCACTATCTTCTCGATCGACTGATTGCGTAGTAGTGCCTGTCAAAATATTCGTAAATAGAGGATGTAGAGTCGAGAAGCGAATGGAGAGCGTCTAGTGTCCGCAGCGCGTGGACATCCTGCTAGCAGTCAAAAAGGCTCCCCATCGCGTTAGCGTCCATCTTTTCGACCTCTATCAACCTTTTTTCTTCCTTGTCCCCTACTCTTTAGAGCAAGAAGCTGCCGCCACTACTAAACGTTGTTACTCCTGTTGCCATTGCTCCGATGCTTTTGTACGAAGAGTGAGCTGTTCACTATTTACTGTTTTCCTTTCTTTTTTCTTTTATTATTGCACCTAACTTTTTACTCTTTTTATTTTTTATTATTTTCCACGAATACTTCTTAGATTTTTAATTTTAATGTAATATAGAATGATGAAAAATATATCTTAGAAATTAAAAGCTGTCTTACATCATGGAATTATGACTCTTATTATTTTTTTATTTTTAAAAGCTTATGTACATTCTATTTCGTCTACATTGATTTGTATATTAAATTTTCTTCTTTTCTTTGATTTTCGATGAAAGTTATATCGATGTTGTAATTTATATCGAGCTTATCTTGCTTTTTTTATTAATTAATCTTTGAATATAACTGATTACAAACTTCAATTTTTAAAGTATTTGTAATTTCTTGAATACTAAATCCACTAAATACAACTTTTTATAATATCGAAAATTAAGTCTTATGCATTGCTTTTAATAATAATTTTTGTATTTTTATAAAAAACCTTATTTTCTAATTATTTATATGAAATTAACCTTGCGGCCAATATAAATGATAAATATTTTAGTATTTATTTAAGTTTTTAAATTAACTAGTATAGTTAATGGTTTTACATTATGCATAGTTAAGTCATTACTGAATACATGCTACAAGCACTTTGTTCAATATAATATGATACATAAACTGTTGATGTTGAAAATATTGTAAAGATTTAGATTCTATTTTATAAGCTATATCGAAAATATTTTATCTAAATAAAGGTTTCTATTGAAAGAGAATGAAATTTTTCTTTTTTATAAAACATCAATTACGTATAGAACAAAATTCTTATCCAACAAAACCCAAAAATCTAATAAAGCTAATCCGCAATTAACTAATTTCGCTTTTGAAGAGAGAACAATAATTTAGAAATGAAAAATCTCGTATCGTCAAATATACACTATTGATTATAAAATCGCGCATTCCTTGTAAAACTTCATCGTAGTATTTTCGCAAGACGATTAAAAATTAAAATAAAAGGTCAGGAAAAACTATCGAGTCATGCTCAAAAACAGTTAATAAGGTCAACAAAATTAAACTTATGCGAAGCACGCGACAATGACGCGTCCCAAAAGATTTGATGCTCCAACAACGGTTGCCGGATAATGCAGTTCGGATATAAATAGGATAATCCCCGGACGAGTCTAAAGAAATTCGTAAATATTGTGTCGTGATAGATATAAGGACAGGACGGATGCGATTATCCCAAGAGGCAATTTGAATTGAGGTAAGCATACTGACCTTATTGATGCTACCTTTTTTTCTGCAAGTATTTTTCATCATGAAAAGATGCAAAGGCGGAAAAGCCGCCGTTGCTTGCCACTAAATGCAAGTGAATCAAGGGCTTTTCTGGTATTCGGAAAGTAGGAGCTTCTTTTTTCTCTTCCAGATATGCGCTACTTTTTTAGTCTTGCCACTCCCTCTTATTCAGGTATATGCGAATACATTGAAGAGCAAAACAATCGAAGTTAGAAAGTCTACAAATTCTTTTTTCTTCAAATCTTGCCTTGTCATTCACGCGCAACGAAGTTACTCAGATCCCAAGTCTTTACGCATCCATTGAAAACACTTTCGGTAAGCAACAATTCAAACTCTTATATTCAAGGTGTCACTCGTGTCATTGGCCTTGTTCGCTTGTTCTTGTCGGTCTCTTTATTCTTCCTTCATTTTTGTAGCACAGTCTTGACATTCGAAGGAGAGGCTCGAATAACTTTGCACAATGAATGTGAGGGCCAACTTGTCATGGATGACCTATTCAAACTATATATGTTTTTGTGAACATTGTCAGTGTTTTTTTTTATTTGTGCTTTTACTTTTATAACTTTTGACTGTTAGTATATTATTTCTAGCAATAGAATTTTTAAAACAAACTTAGACGCTATCGTTAATATTGTCTTATTTCTGCTTCGTAAAAATCTAAAAACTACAAATTAATAATTAATAATCGAGTATTGCAGTTATTTTAAGAAACACTTTTCAAATTAAGTTTTTATATTACTTATAAAAGACAATTATACAATAGTATAAAACACTTACTACTTTATTCTATAAAGTAAAGCGTTACGTGTAAAAATGAGACTATTAAACTTGCATTCTGTTTACGTATCCAAATAAAATCATTATAACAATGAAACGACTTCCAAATATAAAAGTAATAAAGAATGAAGTAAATTTTAATACCCTTTTTGTCATAAAAATAATTTAAAAGGTCAAAGTTCAACATTTTTTAAGAAGAAAAAAAAGGAGGAAAAGTCTTAATACTTTCATTTTTGTAAGTGTACCAATAACTAAGTAAAAGACAACGCTCGTTGTATGTCTAATATATGAAAACTACTTTTATGAAGAAAGTATGAAACATTCGGCCATTGTCGCATTGTTGTCATTGTTTATTTCTGATAAATAATGTTACATACAACAATGTTACGTACAATTCTAAATATCAATTGATGCTGTGTTCAATGTGTCGCTTTAGTACATACTAAACAATAAAAGTTTAGATATTATCTAGAAGTATATTAATTAAAATTTTTATATTATAACTTAGAATAAAATTTTCGCTACAAGTTTTTTGATAGGTTAATAATAATTTGTTCTTTTTGTACTTTTTTAAAATGCAAATTGTAAATTTAATATATCGACAAATTACATAATAGTTAATGAATTTGATTTTATGTTTAAAAAAATTTATCATTAAAATATTATTAAATTTTTATATCAGAATATTAACTACAGGAGTATTATTTATTATTATTTAACAATTTCATTTGATAAATTTAGTGCAATCTAAATAGTCTAGATAGTTTAATTCACAAGCTTTACATTATTTTATTATTCATATTTTTTAATATATCTTAAACTTGACGCCAAAAGAATATTTCTCATTTCATAGTAAATTATAATTGATAATGATATTGAACAATTTAATAGTTAATTATAAATGTATAACAATTGTAGCAGTAGAAACTATTAATTATAATCAACATAAAAAGTGTTCCAACAATGTTTTATTTTTTTTTTAGATTTTTATTAATGTATGTTAAATTAAATACACTGATCAAAGATTTATATTCATGGATTTACAGAGATGTAAGGAAAAGCTGAACACACTTGCCATTTCGGTAATGAACCAATGGCCAGGAGTGAAACTACGGGTGACGGAAGGTTGGGATGAGGAAGGCAAACATGCTACAGACTCATTGCACTACGAGGGTCGAGCCGTCGATGTAACAACGAGTGACCGTGACCGAGCTAAGTACGGGATGCTCGCGAGACTGGCCGTCGAGGCAGGCTTCGACTGGGTTTATTACGAATCTAGATCTCATATACATTGTTCCGTGAAATCAGGTAACAATTTAGTTCTCATTATTCTAATTACAAATTTATTGTTTAATAGCTACCAGCTATTAACTCAGTAATTACTTCTGTAGTAATAACAATCACATAAATAATTTATGAAATTTGTATATGTTAAAAACTTACATTAGTTTTATATGATTATTTGAAATGAGTTGAAAGGTAAATTTAATTATAAATTGAATAAAAACCACGTATTTTCATTTATACTTATATTTAAAACAATATGATTTTATTGAACATAACAAAATAATATAAAATATGTAATAAATTTCAATTTTTAAAACGAAAACTTATAATTTATAACTTAAGTTCTTTAACATTGTTTTATACTACATTTGTTATTGATATTTTATATTAATTTTCTTGTATTATGTTTGTTATTAACGTTTTATATTACGCTTATTATTAATAATGATAAAAACATTGTGATTGATAAAAATTGTTTTAAAAATAAATTTGAATCTGTAAAACTAATATATGTCTAAAGTTATGTATTTATTACTAATAATAATGACTTGCTGATTTTCACATCTGAGAATATTGGATTGATTATAATTAATTAAATAATATAAATTTAACTTGGTACTAAAGATCATAAATTAAAAGGAAAAAAATTTGAAAATAAATTTTATTTAACAATTATTGCAACTTACAAAGGCAAGGTTTAAAGAAGGATTTATGGAATCTCAATAGAAATAAATAATATCGTTATTGGTGATTTGCAGAATCATCATCGACTGGCAAGTCAGGTGGTTGCTTCCCTGGAGCGAGTTTGGTACGCACCTCGAATGGTGTAACTCGAAGACTGGATCAGTTGACACTAGGCGAGCGAATCGCTGCTCTGGACGAGTCGAGCGGTGAGCTCGTATACAGCGAAGTGATCGCGTTCATCGATCGGGCGCCTACTCAGAAGCGTCAGTTTATTCGATTAAACACAAAGTCTGGGCATACACTCACATTGACACCAACACATTTGATACCGATCGAAGGTAAATCGGCTGTGTTCGCGGCGCGTGTTTCACCGGGTGATCGAGTTCTCATCAGGCACGAGATAGCCACATCTATGCGACAACGAACTTCATTTAGGTGGGATGAGATTTTGGAAGTTAAACTTGTGTTTGAAGAGGGTGTTTACGCACCTCTCACGTCCGAGGGTACGCTTCTGGTTAATGACGTTGTGGCTTCGTGCTATGCGATTGTTGATAGTCAGAGCATAGCACACTATGCCTTCCTGCCGTTTAGACTTTGGAGAAATATAAGATCCAGTTTAAGGAAGTTCATCCTGATTTTGAACAATCTGGGCTCGAGTTGGAACATTCTTGCGAGGACAGCCACGGGGACATCGGCAACTGTACTAAGGAACTATGAGGAAAGAAGTGAAGGTATCCACTGGTATGCATCACTGCTCTATAGGATTTCGTCCTACATGCTGCCCAAGAATATGCTATATGACTGAAGTGCAACTCATTCACCACCAATTGTTAATTCATAATTAATACTAAATAGGATCGATGCATTATTACTTTGTTTCTCTATCCATTTTACCACTTTATCCTATTAGTAACTCGAAGCTCATTTATTGCTCTTTTTTTACCACTTAATGGAACTCAAATTTTTGGCCAGTACTTTTACTTGGAGCTTTGTTCTTAACTTTTCCCCTTGTTTTTCCATTTTCTTTGATCCTGACATATACGTCAACACATAGCCATCAATCTTTTTTTCTTTTAGTAATTAAGTGGCGATAGAACTGTACAATATTTATTGTAGATGTATAGGACAAGTTAGCGAATGGAAAAGACTACGCTAGCGACAGATTGAGGAGTTTTCAACTGCTATATCGTACACTTGTTACAGATTTGAAATATTTATTTATCAAATTTTAATATTGTATAGTAAGTTTCATTGTGTACGAAATTATTTAGCAGTATAATGAAATAAAATATAATAGACATAACTACGGGATGAATGAAGAGAACTGCTTATCAATTAGGTTTCAGTTTTATTAGTTTTAATATAAAAAATCGATAATTAACAAAAGTTATAATTTACATTTATTATAAATAATACAAGTAAAAATTTCAAAGATTTTAATGTAGCAATTGTATAAAATAATTCTTTCACTTTAAACCTTTTTCTTATCTTGAGAATTATATCTATTTAGAAATTGATTAAATGATATATATATATATATATATATTAATGATATATATATAAAAAATTAATCAAAGTTTCAATATAAACTCCTATTGATAATTTATAAAACCTAAAAAATGTATTAATAAAGTGTATAAATAAACTTAATTAATATAAACAATTTATTTATTATATAATTTTTAAAGTAATTGAATCAATTTGGTAATTTTATAAAAGTTTATAATTCGTATTTTAATTATAAATAATTTGTATATAATTAATTATATGAACAAAAAATTTTTTCTCCTTAATTTGTTTTGCTTAGCACGAAAGTCTCCTTCGAAAGCTTTGTAAACCCGTAACTCAACATAGATGGGTGCACGGATGTATTATAATTTAACGCGTATTAATTATACTATACATACTTTGTATAGATGATTGTATTTAAATGATTATTTTCACGTTAAATATCGACTGGCCGCGAAAAATAATTATTTTATTTTCTATTTTTAAATAAAAATCGTCTGTTTATTTTATAGAACGATTTTTCTATGTGTAAAATCAATCCAGGCGATAGAATCGTTTGGTTACTCATAAAGTATAATTTGTACATATGATTTATATATAGTAGACGTACATGGATATAATATAATATAATATAATATATTATATATATATATATATATATATATATATATATATATATATATATAACTCATATTTATCAACAGTGGACTTGAACTAGGCGTGATGTAATGTTCATTGTTATATATGCCGGTGATCGCTATTACTTTAACCTTCTTTTCTATTTCAATCTTCGAATCATTGTAAATGCATATCGATATTTCCATCATTGAAGTAATTATTTAGATTTTTAATCTTTGCTTTGAAAAATTATTAAAAACCTATTTGGATTTATTTAATTTATAGATTGTAAATGAAAATATAAATCAGAAACAATTATAAGTATTTAGAATAAGAAAATAATTCTATTGTTTACTGTGCCTCATTGTGTGATCAAATTTACTTTATTCTCACCTTTAATAACTCATGTGTATTGTTTTAATTCTAAATGCTTAAGTTGTTACATATAAATATGAAGCATATGCATGCACACTATATACAAATTCACGCGGCTGCTACACAATTCGCGCTACAATGAATAATAATTATTTTTTATAGATAGTATTATTTGTGTGAAAAGCAAGAAATTTTATAAATTATGTATATACATTAGCAACAATTAAATAAATTAATTTTAAATATTTATTTATTATTTTATTTTATTTTCCTGTATCATGTAGATCCTTTAAAATGATAATTTATAATACTGTTGTATTGTCCTTTAATCAATAATCAATTAATAACCACTTTTAGAAGTTAAAACATTTCCAATGAATATTTTATTGAATAAATATTTAATTGCATCATTTTTATATTAGCAATTGCCGTCATTTTTTTCTAATATAATATTAACTTAAAATATTTTCGAAATAGATTTTAAGAGTAAGCTTCAAAATCAAAAAATAGAAAAAATAAAAATTGAATTTCTATATTCATTCTAATCATATAAATAAATGATGGTTTACTACGCAATATTTGTTAAAAATACTATTTTGAACGATTTTCTGCACGAATACCGAAGTGGTAATTGAAAATTTGTCAGGCATCTCGAAGAGTGAAACCATTATTAATAAGCACTTTTTCACCAATACATCAGTAGCATTGCTTGTACTTGCCGAGCCATAAAACCACTGTTTTAATGCTTTGACTTTTATGTGAAGTTTTCGTTGTATATTTTATGTTTCACCTTTTTCAGTATAAATTTATACCGTCACTACAAATTTATATACGTCATCATTCCTACGAAAATATATAAAATATTAAAGGTATATTTAGTATTTTATCTAAATTATCGGACAAACTAACATATCGTTTAGTATATCTAAAAGAAATTGGACGTTTGGATTTTCCTAATTGATTTCTAGTTATTATTATTAATTTTTTAATGAAACATTTTAAAACAAATTTCATAGAATATTTTCAAAATATACTTTATTAAATAAATATTTAATTGCAAAATTTTTTAAAAATTAGTAAAAATCGATTGTTTTTTACAATATGTTTGTTTAGATTTAATTATATAACGTAGGTTATAACAGTAAAAAATGTAAATAAATTATTAACTAATAGCATTGCTATATAGTAAGACTCCATTTGTAATATTATTACAAAGTAAAAAATTGAAATCTGTTTAAGTATTACAAAATAATGATTTAAAAACTTTTAAAACAAATTTTCAAAATGATAGACTTCAATTATAATTATAAATAATTTATAAAGTGACCTTTATAGGTGACCTTTTAACTAAATAATTTTACCACTTATTTATATGGTTTATCTAAATGAACAGAAATAAATTTTTATTAAACTTTTAAAATAATTAAAATATATTTTATTAAATAAACTATAATTCCTGATTGTTAATAAAATTTAGTAAGGAATATATAATTTTTTGCTAACCAAAATGCAAACCAAAAGTTGTAATTGAATTGGAAATTATTTGATATTGTAATTATATTTTAAGAAAAAAAATTGAAAGCAAATTCCTGTTATAGTTTTTTTTATAAATGGTCTAATATTCATTAATATTTAATTGCAAAAGAAGTATTTGTATTCTATTATTAATTTAACATTAGATCGTTTTCTTGAATGTATGTATTTTATATTAATACATTATATGAATACAAAATTGATCATTCTTATTGAAAGTTCTTGATTAGTAAGAAATATTATAATATAAACTTTATTAATGTTTATTATGTAATCAATTGATACGCTTTATTGAAAAAGGTAATTAAAAATTTTAAAACTCAGAATATAATACTATTAATTCTTCGAAACATTATTCATGCAATTATTTTTGTACTTCATAAAAAAGTACATTAATATATTTTAAATTTGAAAATGAACAAAAGCTTTTATATGCAATATTTTTAAAATATCAAAATTATATACGAAAAAAATTTGTTTTTATTTTGCTAAATATTTTTAAACTTTGGAAAAGTTTATAAAAATGTATATCTAACTAATTATTTAATTTGAAGTGAAACAAAAATGAAAGAGATATAAATTAAATAAATTGAATTAGTTTAGTACTAAATACTTTTGTATGTAGTTAAAATTATAATATTTTTATTATGTATAAATATTTATTGATTTGTACTTATAGATTTATCTTTTTATTTAACTAAAATTAATTTCAGTAAGAATTTATAAATCATTTTTTATATAGTAAGTTTGTTTTATATGTATGAAATTTAATTTTGAATTTAATAAATTGTTTGAGCTTATTTAAAATTTTAAAAGTTATTTGTATAAACCAGATATAATAACAAAATATATATTTAAGAATTTATTTGAAATTTCACTGAGTGAAATACAGGTTAGCCGAGGAAAAGACTCCCATAAATAAATAAATCTTTGTATCAAATTCATTTATTTCCATAATTTATTTAAAAAATTAATAAATAAAGGTAAAATAAAAAGTATAGTAATTATATTTTACTTAATAATTAAAATTATTATTAAAAATAATGAAAAAATATTTAATACAAAAATTTGTACTTAATATTTCAGAAAAAATATAAAAATATATTATCTATGCATACTCGCGTATTCAAGCATTTATTTTAGACAGAACTATATTCCTAAATAAATTTATTTAAAAAATGCTACAAAAAAGCCAAAAAATTATATTAAACATTAAAATAAACCTTTATTATATTTGTTAAATTTAATAATATTTAATAAATTATAATAGACTTCAAGTAATACAGGAAATAAACAAATTTATTAAAAATCATTTCATATAAAATAACTTGTTTTGGGTAAGCCTGAAATAAAAAAATGTGATTTGAATAAAAATAAAAAAATTAATGAGTAAAATTGAATAGAAATATGTGATTCTATTTTGTCAATATAACAAATTAAATAGACATCGTATATTAATAATAACAACAATAGTGTATATAATAAATAGTGGTATATATAAAATATATATTGTATAATTACATATATTTTATATAATTATATATTATATACTTTTTGTTCTTATTAGAGTACCAATTTTGTATAAATGCACTATCATCAACTTTTTTATATATAAATTTTTTTTTATATTTCAATATTTTCTTATAAATTAGATCTTATATTATAAATGATTAATTATAGAACTTAGATTCATACACATTACATTGAAAATGATTATACACTGATCAACAAATATGTATTAGAAATTATAATTACATATATTATTACAGACCATTTGACCAAAGTAATTATTGATTGCTAGTAATTTTTCATTCTAATGATTATTGTTTAACATTCACTTATTAAATAAATGGTACATACAAAATAATATTTAGTTACTTAATTAATCAAAACATATTTTCATAACTAAGTTTTTTCAAAATAATAATAAAAATAAACCAATAAACTATACTCTTAAAATACTGTCAACATATTCATATAATTTACGAAATTATTTATAAATGCTTTTGTAATTCATAATTAGTAATGTTAAATAATTATGTATATATGTCGATTGTATTTTATAGATCTTTAAAAAGACATTGTTTAAAAAATTAAATAAAAAAATTTTTAATATAAATATTTAATATTGAGATCAAGTTTTTATAGATTTCATAGATTTTTTTTATCTGTAAATTTTCCATATACTTCATATAACAAATTCGTTACTGAAATTATCTAATGAAATAATAAACTAATTATAAACTAAGCAATTATTCTATAAGTATAATTTGGATTACGTTAATAAGTATAACTTACATATAATAACATTTAAAAAATAGATTTATATGTTAAAAATAAAACAAGAATAATAAATCCGATGTGAATATTTGATGTCCTATTTTTTAATAAATAAATTAAAACTACTGTGATAAATCATTTTTCAACTGTGAAATGAAAATACATTTAAATAAAATTGTATATTACATCATAATTAAATAAAAAAAAAACTAATAAATATATGTTAGAAATAATAATTTAATAAATATATAATATTTGATATTAAAATTATATTTTATCATGTTCTTTCATTTTTTTTTTATTAAAATTTCAAATATAATAAATTTCATATTCATATCTAAATATTCAAATTCAGTATTTTATATCATAATTATTTAAATATGTGGCATAATAAAAAAATATTACAAGAATTTATATATTAAAAATTATACTTTTTATTGTAAGGATAATTTTAAATTATAAAAAGAATTATTAGAAAATATTTTTTCTTCATAGTTGTCAAATTATTAAATTATATTATTAAATTTTTTACATTAAAAGACAAATAACATTTAATAATTATCTACTTTCAAATTTAATTATGAAAAAAATTATTGTAAAAACAAAATATTTTAAAAATTTTAATAATAAATCAAAAACTAACTTATTTGATTACTAAGCTGCTGTAAAACAGATAGAACCACTTCTCGAAGAGTCTGTAATTGAAATTAATACATTTTTAATTCATACTTTTTATTTCCATATTATAATGAATTGATTTAATTTTACCTGTGGTTTACAATGTTCTTCAATCCAACTGAATACACAAGCTGATAATTCAGCAAAATTAGATACTGATACATTGTCAAAAGTTTGAAATAAACGATCCATTATTGCTTGAAACTAAAAGTTTAAATGTATATGGTATTTCATTAAATATATGATATACTGATATAAAATATTAATATTATATATTATAAATATTATATTATTATAAAATAGTAGATGTACAGAGAAATGTTAATGACATTATTTTTACAATCTGAAATAATTATATAAACAGTTTATATTGAATTAATTAAGTTTCAAAAATCATAAAGACTTTGAATTACCAAGCCCATCTTATTTTTATTTTATAGGTGTCAGTGTGTGCTACTTATTTTTATATTTTTCATTTGAAGTGGTTATAAATATAACAAATGTATTAGAATTTTAAAGTTTAATATTCTATTCACTACTTAGATTATAGTACAACCAATAAATATTTAATATTTATAATACAAATTTGATACGTTCAATGTATTTTGTTACTTAAATTTAGAGAATACATAAAAATCATTTTTAATATTATATTGACCTAAATATAATTAAAATCATAGATGATTCAAAGTATATATATATATATATATATATATATATATATAACATTTTCCATAATTTCAATCACTTTATATTTATACATATTTTATTTAACAGTTTATTATTACTATAATAAACCATTAATAAATTATACAAATAAAACAATCGTATTTATATATTTTTTTTATATAATAATAAAAATAACATTTAAATATTATATTATATTAATAACAGAATTAATATAAAAATTTAGGACAATATAAATTTTACATATTTTTTAAAGGAAGAACTAAATTTATATGAATTAACAATGTATCTATTAGTATTTCAAATTTGTTATAAGTTTTCTTACCACTTGAAATTTAGTTTCATCTGAGACACATGTTTCTGAATGTCCTGGTTGAGTCTGATGAGCTTTTACAATTTGTTCATAATTTGTTTTCATAATTCTTAAAGCAATTACTTCTTTTCGAAGAGCATTTCTTTCTTCTTCTTGTTTTTTCTTTTGTTGTAATAAGAACTGAATATAATCAATAGATTTTTGAAGAACTGTAGCCTTTGATAATTTGTAACCTGAAATATCAGTTTGCTGACATGTAGGTATAAGATCTTGTAATGTATCATATCCTCTTTTAATAGCATCTCTTCTTTTCTGTTCAGCCTGAGTATGAGCTTCTCTACGTCGTTCTTTATAACTTACTGTAGAATTTTTATTATCACTATCTTCATCCTCTAATAAGATACGATTATTTAATTCATAAGTAATTTTATATATTAATTATTTAACAAATTAAAAAATACTAATAATTTAAACAATAATATATATCTAACATTTATAACAACATTTACTTAACATTTATTTATAATTAATGTTTTTTAAAACCAATATTATTCTTTTTTTATTTAAAAAGTGTACAAAATATATAAATTTTATATGTAAATCATTGATTTCAATTATTTTATATTTAAAATTGATCTTTATTACATTACTTTATAACATTTATCTAATATATATTTTATAAAAGTAATTTAAAAATAGTTAAATTAATTTTGACTAAGTTTATTTATTATTAATAGATTTTAAAAATTATATCAAACTAAAATTACCAGTATTATGAGCAGAAGAAGATGGAGTATTTATAGAGCCTGTACTACTACATCGTGAAAATGTATGTCTATCTGCAGGGCTAGAAGGTTCCAGTTTGCTATCACCATCAGAACCTGTACTTCCAGTATTACTTCCGCCAGTAATACGTATTTCTGTAAATTTGTATAATATTAAATTTATGAAGAGTCTGATAATAAAATACTACTTATGCAATAATACTTATGCAATATCATTACTGAAATTACTTACGTGTTTCATATGCATCGAATTGCAAATTGTCACCCATTTTGAAATAATTTAATTTTTACTGATGACTGCATATAACATTCAATTCAATAAATCAATATTCGACTTTTTTCTCTGTTGTTTACACATTATTAATTTTTATTAATATTCCATCTGTAGTGGATAAAGATAAATACCTTGTATATTGTGTACAAATGTGAGAACAAAAACGATTGCACCATATAATTAGTACTTTTCATTTTTGGTAGTATTCCATTTCTTTTCTTATAAATTTATATTAAATCGATTTTACTTTTGCTTACTAACAAGTAGAAGATAAAAAAAGGAGATGTTGAATGCTGATTTGAAAAAATGGCTGAGGGTCGATTGCTACGAACCTAGCGAACATTTCCACAAATCAATGCAACAATCTTCAACGTGGAGGGAAAATGTACAAATAAAGGATGACGATTTGAACAAAAATAAAGCATATATGTAAATTAATGCTGTAATATGATAAATCTAATAAGAATATAATATTGAAGAATAGATTTAAAGGAAAGAAAATTGTGGTTATTAGGTTTTCAAATTGAATTAAAAAGAAAATTTGTTAAGGTAAGTTTTGCTTAGTCAACAATTAAGATGCAATGTCAAGAAATTGGTGAATTCTGATTTTTGAAAGATCATTGGTAATGAATGGATAAGTGCATGCTATTAAAAAGATTAAACCTCATATTTACTAATTTTTATTTTCTCTGAGTAACTTATTAGTGTTTAGTAAATTTTTGAACTTTGTTTAATTATTTTGAATTACTAAATAATTAAATCATTGTATTTGAATAAAAATAGTCACTTATATAAAATGTTAATATTACAATATAAATAGAGTACGCTTCTATAAGTTCATTATTATGATCAGTTGTTTTAATGTTAATGTTGTTAATATTTTTTCCCAATTTTTATCTTAGATAGCTGAATGTTAGTGCTGAGTTTATTAGATGGTTCGTTTGAATAAATTAATGCTAAGACAGTTTTTTTTGTATTATACAAAATTCATTATATATTTATCTTACTAATCTAGTATAATTTTAACAATTAGTTTTTTAGTTTTGATATTTCTTATTATAAAACAAATGTAAATATATACAATTATTTATATACTTTTTAAATACTTTAATTTTTTATAAGAATACCTAAGCAATTTAAAAATGCCTGTGTAAGAGTAATAGGATTAAAAATATGAAAAAAACATTGACTTGACGAAAACCAGTCAAGTATTTAAAAAAAAGGAAAAAAAGAGATCTAACCAATTTAATAATTGGTCAGATGAAAAATTAAGAGATATTCATCCCATTCAATTTAGTTTAATCTTTAATAAGAAGAAAAATACTTGGTTCATAAAATGATGTAACGGAATATTAGAAAAGGGTATAAGATGATATAGCTTGTAATATAATGTAGTAAAGAAATAAGGATACAAAGAGAGTGTAAAAACACTATGACAATTTTGAAATAGAAGGAATGAAAAAGAAGGGGAAAGGGATGGTATTCAAAATTTTCACTAATAATTACAAGCAGTTTTAAGTTTGATTATTATAGATTATTATAAATGATGTAGATTAATGCATGTCTGGTATTTATATTTTCTTATGAGTAGATAATATTGATATGTATTTAGTTTTCACATCTTTTAATATTTTTAGAAATAGAAAGTCATTTCTGAATAAATAACAGACCTTACATTGGAAATAATACTGATAAATTGTGGGATTGAAGCTTTATTTTACACCAAAATACAAATGGATCATAAGTGATTCAGGATGTCCAATATCTCAATATCTTAAAATTAGTCTTTATGTTTTTTATATTTTATTCAATTATTTGATTTTATATAAATGTAGTTATCATATTTATACATAACTATATTTAGATTAAGTTAATATAATTATATTATGTTTATAAATTAAATATTAATTATATGAAATGTTTTTACTAACGCCAAGGCTATATATTCTGCTGTATTAAAAACATTTTGAAAACGGTGAAAGAATTAAACTTCGTAATAATATTACTTTTCATTTTGATACAATCTTATAGACTTCTAAATTTAAATGAAATTTTATACTTACAGTTATATAACTAGATAAAAGTATGTAAATACAATGAATACAAAGAGAACAAAATACTTAACGAAAATAAACAAGGAGAAAATATTCAGGTATTTTGTTTTATAATTTTAATTGTAAAAAATGAAAAATTAATAACAATGAAAATAATTTAATATAATTACTAAAGAAATTTCTGTAAATCTTAATATACAGCATTATTTAATGAGATAATAATACTATTATATAATGTCTAAAAATTACCAACCTATAGACTTATTAAAATTAAAAAATATTTTTAATTTATATTATATGACACAGTTTTATATAAAACTTTCATTAATATATTTATTTTTCAGAAATACAAATATCATTTATAAAATAATCATAAAGCAACTTTATAATATTAATGTATTGAATAATAATTCATTAAATAAGTTAAAAAATTATTAAGTTATTTAAAGTCAGTTAAATAAATGTTTTATTAATCAGCTTATTTGATTATATATATATAACAAAAAATTTTATATTTAATGATTGGTTTTATATAAAATATGAATAATTTTGTATTTGATTAAACATTTTTAAATTTTTGACCAGTTTACTATGATACAATAATCGTGATTTGTGATAATTGTAAAATTAAGTACGTATTGCAGAACATAAAAAATTTCTACGGATATAAGGTAAACGCGAAATATAAAGAAATAAAAAAAGGTGTTGAATAATTACGAGTTAGGTTAATGTGTCAAAAGAGAACGAACAGTAGAATCAAACAAGATATAGAAGTCACGGATTGTAAAACAGACTAGTAAATAAAGAAGTAAATTTTCAGACAGTCTTCAACAATTTCGGAGAAAGAGCTACTTTTTGTCACAAAAGGAGCTGAATCGTTGAACAACCTCCATATCTTTTAATAAATTCATAAAACACTTGTAGTATACAACCATTACCAGTATTAAAGCAAATTTTTCTTTTGTTCTGGTTAAATACTTGTATTCTAATTTCGGACCATTAAAACTTTGAAATTAGGATCAATCGTTATGAAATTGTAAAACATTTTATTTTCAAACAACTTTATTTCAACGTATCCTAAAATGTATTTGATGCGTTTTTTTATTAATCAGTTTTATCAATATACTTCAATATTAATATTTAATATTTATTTAAAATAGTATTTTTTAATTTGTGCAATAATAAAGTAAATAAATTATCCAAAATAAAAAAATAAATAAATAAATGCAAATGTATGAAACCTGATATATAATATACACATGAGTAACATGTATATTGGTTCAAACTTATCAGCTATATCTACTGTTTGTGATAAAAGAATCTATCAACATAACCGTTTAGATATTAAAAATAAGATTCTATGTACTATATTTTGTTTCATGATTATATTATTATTTACCCTTTTATGCAAATTAAGATAATTATAGTTAATTATATTCGTCAATAAAACTACATGAATATTAAACATTTATCGAATAAAAATAAAGATAAAGTAACAAAATTACTTTGTGATCTTTAAGTGCAATACGTATTAATTGTAATTGAATGTAAAATTAAAGGTTAAAATATAATAGTACGTACTTTATGACTATGATGTGGTTTTATGATACTTGTATATATTTATGCATTCAATAGCTTCATATAAAAAATATATAAAGTGGTTAAATAAGCTAATAATTTGTGGCGTATATTATAATAATTGGTAAGATAATTGATAAGAAAATAATGAAGTTATTCTTGTTTAGATAGGTTACTGATAGAGTACTTGTTCAGAACATTTTGAATTTGGTAAATTTATAATTTTAGAAAAAATTAAGAATTTACAGTTTATATTTTTTATGTTTAATTTAAAATTATATCATTTATAAATCATCACATTACAAAGCTATGCAAAATAGAGTTAGCGATTCTCAACAGTATTTGATTCACTCAAAAAACGGAGAAAAAAGTTGTGGAATAATGTGGATTAGGAGGATAAGAAAGCATATGAACGATAAATTACTACTAATAATATTAACGAAAGTAATATTAATAATAAAATAAATTTTAAAACTAGATAATGATTAGTGTGTCGTTTTGAATTAATTTTAATAGTTGATTAATTCACATTGATATATCCGGAAACAAAAAATGTAATAAAATAAAATTACAATATAATTTAAATGCCATCTTGATTATTATGTAGAAAATGTCACATCGAACAAAACGAAATTTTATATGTAAAATTTAAAAAATGTAGAAACATTTATAAAATGTTCTATTGTTAATTAAATATTCGATTATATATCAATAAGAAAGTAATTTATATGTATGTGAAAATATATCGTAATGCAAATCCGAAAAAATGAATTGAAAATATACAATAATTCAAAGTAACTACTGTATAAAATTGTGTTTAATTTATTTCATTTTCTTTAAAAATGTTGATATTTTTTGTTATTATTATATACATTGAGCGAGAGGAAGAAAATCAGATAATAAGCATAATAGCCAAAAATAAATTAGATGTATATATATTGAATGAAAAGTAGTATAGTAATAGATAAATCATAGAAACATATTTATGCAGTAAAAAAGTGGTAATATGAGCATCAGCAAATAAAAGGCACAGTATTTACTACTTTTCTACGAAAAAATAAGGAGACATTCAAGATTTATAATGCGATGGAAGTTAAAGTGTGCAAGATACAAAATCATTAATTAATTGGTGAGGAAATACAATAAAAATTTATCGTTGATATAGGTATTTACATTTATAAAGTGCAAACTTATAATTACACCATATATTACATAGTACAGCAATGTTTATAGCAAATTTAAGGCACACACAATAGATGTTTAAGTTTATTCATTTTTAAAAAAGTATATCATTTTAACACAGTGCTTATTGAAAAAAAGTTATAGTATGAAATATTAATAAATTCTTTTAAAAATAAGAAAAGAGAGCATAGCAAATCAAAACAAACAGATATTTCTTCTACGACTTATTTTTCACTCAATAACCCATTTTATAACATTGTTAATTTGAGCTTCCAACGATTCTCCGGAGGTTCTCTGCTAGATTTCAACTAAAATTTTGGGAGGGAATTACATAAATGATTGCATTCATAAATATTAGAATTCTTAAATTTAGTTTGTGTTATATTTAACTCAGCATCCCTAATATCATTTTTCATTCTTGCTAGTATCAGTTAACGCCTATTTCCTTTTATACATAATCATCTCTTTTGGTTCATCATTTACAATACTGTATTAAAGGCCTTTCATTGTAGATTTTTTTGTGTA